TGACAATGCACTCCTTTCTCCCTAGCAGATTCAGGGTCGCCCCCCCCCAAGACGCCTCCCCAAAAATATATTGTAAAGAAAATTTCTAAGTTTCTAAGAAAATTTCGTCCTCAACGATTCCTCAAGGATCGGAAACTAGATTACCATTTCCGCACCACATCCGCCCGCATCTACCTGGTCAGCATCCGCAAAGGGATTCATAAATCATAGCCTAAAACTTCCCAAAGACACACTGCACCAACAACATAATGTTTAATGGGTGCACTATTCACAATAGGCAAAGACTTGGAAGCCCCCCGCCCGCAATGCCAGAATGTCCAATCAATAAGTGGACTGGATCTAAGAAAAATGTGGCACAATATACACATGGAATCAGCTATGCACGCCATAAAAAAAGGCATGAGTCTCATGTCCTTTGGGCAAGGGACATGGATGAAGCCGGAAACCCATTCATTCTGAGCAAACTATCACGCAAAGGAAGCAGAGAACAAAAACACCGCGGCCGGGGCGCAGTCGGCTCAAGCCTGTAACGCAGCAGCTTTCGGGAGGAACGTCGAGAACGGGCGGATAACGAGGTCAGGAGATCGAGACATCCTGCTAACCTGGTGAAACGCGTCTCTTACTAAAAATACCCCAACGTAAATGATGAGTTGATGGGTGCAGCAAAACAACATGCACATGTGTACCTATGGATCAAAGCTGCACGTTGTGCACATGTACCCTAGAACTGAAAGTATAATAAAAATAATAATAAAAGAGAGAGAGAAAAAAGAAAAATTTCCACCTCATGGAAACTGCAGTTATATTTCTAGTATCCTCTTCTCTTTTTGGTATGAGTTAAAATATACAGGTGCTGTTCAAGTTAATAAATCATGATTTCTTTTTAAAAAGATAGCTTTTTAGATTGGAGAAATATTCATCTTAAACAAACATAAAAAGTAGAAATTCAGTTTGCTGAGGAGAAGAATTAGAGGATTACACTGATTTGCAGAAAGATTCTGAATAGGATTTCTTTAAACAGCAAAATTCCCTGGCACATTCAAAATATGTTGATTCAAGAAAATCTAATTTATACAAAACTTTACAGGAATACATCTGGTATATAAATCCACACTCACCTGTAATTTACTCTAGAGAGAACAACTGAGTGATAATAATAATAACATACTCATATAGTTCTTCATTATATGTTTTAAAGTGCTTTCCCCTAATTTATTGCATTGTCTTTGGCAACCTTTTAAGGCGGTCAGAGAGGGTATTATTATCCTTTCTTCACAGATGAGAAATTGAGAGGTTAAGTGACTTGCCCAAGGTCAGACGGACATTCATTCATTTACTGCTATCAGAATGATGTAGTTTTACCGGGGTAGTCAAGGAAATATGGTTCTTCCTCCTATTTTTTTAAACAAGCTGTGAAAGCCATTAAAACAGAGGTAGATGATCTCACAAATACAATGTTGAATGAAAGAAGCCAGACACAAAAGTGTACATACTGTAGGATTCGATTACTATAAAATTCAAATGTAGGCAAAACTAATGTATAGTGACAGAAGTCAGGGTGGAGGTTACCTCTGGGGTGGCAACTGGGGGTAAAGAAGGGTTTAAGATAATGTCCGCATTCTTGATCTGGTTTGTATATAGTTTGTTCACTTGGTGAAAATTCACTGGGATATACACTATAATTTGTCACTTTTCTTTATATACATTAAAGAAGTTTTCTCTTTGAAAGGAATCTTACATCTTTAAAAACAGTAATTTTTAAATGCCATTTAGATCACTTAATCTACATATCCTTGAAACATTTGTCATTTCCAGTAGGTTTCTTAAATGCATTTAAAAAATAAGAACATGCACTAAATCATAAGAGTTTAAAGAGTCAAGAAAAGTTTGTAGAAAAAAAAGCCCAGGACTGTTTCACCTGAGAAAGTTTTGATATGAAATGGGAACTGGAGCATGCTAAGATAATAATGCAAGTGATTTAGGATCAGGTCAAACATTTGTATTTAACTATGTCAAACTGGAAATGGTAAGCAAATGAGATTATATTGTTATTCACACAGTATATCCTGGAGAGCATATGTAATATGTAAGAGAGAATTCCTTGAGTGGAAGATGATAATTTTAAAAAATATATCCATTTTATTTCAGAATATTGTACATTAGGATGCTGTATTAGCTATCAGGGAAAAAAGCCAATGCCAGTGATAAAAATCTGAGTAGTCTGTGCACCCCTGGAGACAAACAAAGGCTCCTGAGAAGCCCACATAGCTTTTGATATAAGAATATGGGAAGAATGTGTTTTCACCATTTTCCAGGACAAAAATTACATGTACTTTCAATTGCTTAAATTAATTTCAAAATTTATATTGTAGTTCTCCCAGAATTCCTCATACTCTATAACTCCATACCACTGAGAGCTAACGCTGCACTTGTATGCAGTTACCACTGATGACAAAGGTTTTAAGTTTTACATATAGACTCTTTTCCGTTCCTTCCACTTTTTTCTTTTTTAAACAAAAACCATTATACCACCAAAAATTATCTGTATCGGCACGGTGGCTCACGCCTGTAATCCCAGCACTTTGGGAGTCCGAGGCAGGTGGATCACAAGGTCAAGAGATCAAGACCATCCTGGCCAACATGGTGAAACCCCATCTCTACTAAAAATACAAAAATTAGCCAGGCGTGCACATGCCTGTAGTCCCAGCTGCTCAGGAAGCTGAGGCAGGAGAATCACTTGAATCCGGGACACGGAGGTTGCAGTGAGCCGAGATCACGCCACCGCACTTGTCTGGGCAACAGAGCAAGACTCCATCTCAAAAAAAAATAAATGTAAAATAAAATTGTTTCTTGATATTACAGGTCAGGAACAGAATTTCCAGGCAGTGGATGAGATCTGGACCCGGGATGCTTTCATTTCACCAGGAATCCTGCAAAGGTAGCTGTACCTACAGCTGACTTCCCAGGAGAGCTGCGAATGTATCTCAAGCCCAAAGAAGCCTTGCTGATTCCTGACTCTATGCGTTAGTTTCACTAGGACCTACCTGTTTTTTAAATATATATATATATATATATTTAGAAACAGGGTCTCACTGTGTTACCCAGGCTGGTCTCAAACTCCTGGGCTCAAGTGATCCTCTACTCCCTGGCCTCCCAAAGTGCTAAGTTTCCAGGTATGAACCCCCGTGCCCAGCCTAACATTATGCAGGATGGACAGTGTCAAGCTGATTGTGGTCACCTGTTGGCAACCCGGCACTCTCTGGGCCCACTCCTTCAGTATCTAGGATGAGTGTGAGCCCTCTTCTGGCATTTGAGTTATTAGAGAATTACCCTGTGCTTCCCAACAGTGTTCACATCGTAACAGATTAGAGAGGCAGTTCAGGAGACAGAGAGGAGGGGACAGGAAGAGGTAGGTTGAAGAATTCCTAACCAAACATCTTTTCTACCAGCAAAAGATAAACAAATCATGGGGAACTGGGACCTGTGTGTCTATGAGTAAGTCCATGTGGAATCATTTCAGGACCTTTTTTGTTTGTTTGTTTGTTTGTTTGTTTGTTTTTAAACGACAGAGAACCAAAAGGCACAGCAATTTTTCTCTGGATAGAGATGTTCAACGGTAGAAAAATTCTGAATCACTGTGCAAAGTTTCCTGTGCGAATTCATTTAGTCAGACCTGATCCCTTTGAAAATGGGATTTCCATTTCTATTTAAGCTAATAGGCATGCCCCTAAATTTAATCTCTCTTACAGCAGAGTCACTTAATTAATTCTCTCCTTTGGCCTGCAGCATCTCTGTCGCTCCCCACACCTGGAATCTCTCTTTTTCTCCTGCATCAGCAATGTAGATATGTAGTCTTATGACCCTTAGCATGTAGTAGATAGGCCATATTACTTTTAACTTTTACTAATTTTCACTTTTTTATTATAGTCTGTCATATGACAGATACATTTGTCACACATAATCTTGACCATAGTTTTAAACAACCTGGCTTAGTATAGAAAAAGATAAATTGAGATACTTGCCATCAAGCCTTGTTCTCCTGGTTTTCCTGGTTCACCCTTAAAAAAGAATAGTGATAATTTTAGTAATGCTGTAAGTATTTTTAAAAAACCCTTCAATCATTTTTTTTCTTTGACTGGGGCATGTAAATGTCAAGTATATTTCTTCAGGTTAAATAGAGGAATGTAGCACATTAAAAGAGAGCTAATTTCCCTTCTACAAATAAACTTTACAAATTTAGGGTTTAATAAAATTAGTCTAGATTATCATGTCTTCTTTAGGATGACATAAAGATAAGGACATGGTGTCTTTATGAGAACTCAGAACTTTCATAAATAGGACAGAGAGACAATTGCTCTTAGTACAGGTGTTTAATAAAATGAGCAGAGACTGATGTTAAACTTTGGTCTTCCTGGATTAATGATGGCTGAAGTAACATGTTTTATTAAATTTGATACAGAAAATTACACTATATCATGACATTATCATTTTCTTATATTCAGATTGATACAGAATTATCATATTTTATTGTCATAATGACAGTCATTGGCTAAAAATATTTTTTGTCTTAAAATGCCAATGAATATAGATATTGCTGGTCTTTCAAAATAAGTATTTCACAGTTTATTTTTATAGTCTTCTTCTAGCAAGGTATGATGACACATGCCTGTAATCTCAACTATTTGAGAGGCTGAGGCAGGAGGACTGCTTGAGTCCAGGTCTTTGAGGCTATAGTGTGCTATAATGGCATCTGTGAATAGCCACTGCACTACAGCTTGGGCAACACAGCAAAGACGTCATTGCACACAAAAAAATCTTTTTTTACTTTGGGAGGCCGAGGTGGGCGGATCACCTGTGGTCAGGAAATCGAGATCATCCTGGCTAACATGGTGAAACCCCGTCTCTACTAAAAATACAAAAAAATTAGCTGGGCGTGGTGGCAGGCACCTGTAGTCCCAGCTACTCAGGAGGCTGAGGCAGGAGAATCACTTGAACCCGGGAGGCAGAGGTTGCAGTGAGCTGAGATCACGCACTGCACTCCAACCTGGATGACAGAGCGAGACTCTATCTCAAAAAAAAAAAAGAAAAAGAAATCTTTCTCTAGCAGTCATCATAGTACATATAAATAAACTCTGAGACCATATATAGTTCAAGTTATATTTTTGAAAATTTTAAAACAAGTTAATTTGTCCTATGTGTAGAAAGCTCCATTTCTTACTTACATGAATAAACTATATTTGTTTAAAGAATGATATAATTTTGGATTATGTGGTTTGTCATATCTTTAAATTTTTTAAAAGTAATTTATATCTTGAATTTGAGTATAGTATATAATGCTCAATGATCTGACTAATATACCATCAAAATGGTTTTAACTACTTTTTGAAGAGACACCCATTGTATTTCTGTGGCAACCAGCAATCAATGGGAGAGCTTTAAATATCCCTAAAGCTGTGGATCTCTCTGCCTTTTGGAATATCATCATGAGAAAAAGCAAGGCATTAGAAGACAGCTATAGAATTCAACCACTGTCTTTGGAGGTTGAGTGAAAGCAGTCCTAACAACTAGCAAATCATATGTTGAAAGACAATTCCACATTTTATATCAACAAATTCACAGCAGCTTTCAGAAAAGGACACGGGCTTATGAGGCTGTCTCAGAAGTTTTAAAGTATGCTATATTCTTATAAAGAGTCATTATTTCTAAAAATGCATAAATATATGCATATAAAAATGAAAGAAAATATACCAAAACATTAATGAGTATTGTAATTATTTATTTTTTTGGTTTTATTTTCAAAATTTTCTGCTTTGTGGATAAATATTTTCATTATTATTATGTACCACAAAAATACTATGAAAATAATTTGTTAAATAAATACACTTAATAAATAATTTCATCCAGTAATAAACCTTAATTTCTAGTCCTAAAGTCATAAAATAAATCTAAAATATTTGACCTTTTCCATATATTTCTTTTAATTGCTGGGTTGCCTCTGAAACCAAACCATTTATCTTCTGTGTTTTACTACTATATCATTGACACTTGACCAATCTTTGTAGCCAAGTATTGAGATTACTTTTAAATTATTTCTATGAATAAGCCTTACATACAAAAGACAAATGATATTTAAACCATACCCACCGATGTTTTAACCATTCATTTTACGGTTATTAGCAATTTTGGGGGTTCAAGTTATTTATAAGGGAATAAATATTAGAACATTTTACTTCCTCTACTTTCCATAAATAGTATAGGACTTTATTGGTCTGCTATTGAACCTTTGGAAAATGTTATTAGCCTCCCACTTAGTTTTTCAGACTAATCTCCCATTTTAACCAAAGGCCCCGGTGCACACTATGGCAGTCAGGTTACACCTGGGATTGGGCAACTCCAATCACAGACTTCTTGAGGCTTCCCTCAAAAACAGTTTAGTGGCTGCCTCCAGGTGTCTCTTGTGGTTTGCTTGGATCCCCAGTGGATTAAGTGGCAAAGAGGAATGCAGCTGGGAGCGCCCTATGCTGCTTGGGGACTTTCCCATCATCTCACTTCCCTCAACCCACTCCACTCATCATCCCGTTTCCCTCAACCCACTCCACTCACTTGACCCCCTGACCTGATGCCCCTCACCACCCTGCTCCACCCTAGTTCTCAGCCCTTAACACGAAACAAAACGAGTGAGAATAAGTGATCTAAAAAGTGACTCACAGGTACTCCTGGCATTCCACGGGGGCCATCTTTCCCTGTGTCCCCAGGTGGCCCTCTTGGGCCTGGAGGGCCAGGGGGTCCTGGAGGCCCTGCCTGTCCTTGGTCACCCTGTGATGGAGAAAGGAACAGACCAGCAATAACCATGAAAGATAAAGACTCAGGTCTTCTTTTCAGCACCTTAAATTTGCATTATCTGATCCACATTTACACTATGAAAAGAACCAGAACAACCACAAATATAAAGCCTGTAGGCAATTTGCCTCCCAGCAGGGAGCAAATAAATATTCACGCTGGGTGACTGAGTAGATGCTATTAAAATCAAAGCAGCTCAGGAACCAGCACTTCCATTCTTTGAAATAGTGTATATGTTACCACTACAGTCAGAGCTGGTATAAAATGTGTGAATTACTTTATCCATAACACTGCATCAGTTGTATTCACCTCATTTAATAAAAAGGCTGCCTTTATAGTTAGACAAATGTGTTTACTTTTTCATACCCTATAAAATTAAGCATATGAGGCTCCCATCATATTGCATAATAATTTATAAATTACCAAAGCTAGAGAGCTTAGAAACTGGATCTGTTAGTAGCTACAATTTAAAATTTTTTAATTAAGAAAAAATTAGATAGACTTTTAGTATCTTTTTTGGTACTTGTATATAACATTTCAAACAAATGCAGCTGACTAAACGTAATTTTGTTTGAGGATATTTCCAAATAAATACCCACCCACCGCCCACACCCCACCCATCAGAGATAAACGGTAAAGCAATAGGTATACAGAGCAATAACCGATGTAAAGAAGAAATCAGACTTCAGCAAGAATAAGCACTACCTTAATCAGGCGGCGTTTAATGAGCTGCTGATCAGCAGAGAGAAACCCATGATTGATTTTAGGAAACACCATCTGATCAGTCAGGTGAGGTCAAAGGTTGAAGTTCAGAGATGAGAGAGTTGAAGAATAGACATCAGAAGGCCCCAAGAAAGAAATAAAGATATACACATTAGACTTATAATGATTATTAAACAAAATAGAACTGGCACTTATGTCTAACGTTAGACCCACTGATTCTTCTCGAAAGAAATATCATCCTGAAATGCGATGCTGAGACCAGATCTTCAGTGGTAATGAACATTTTTTGTGCTTCATCATTTCACTGTGGACGTTGGATCTTTTTAATGTAGTTTATTCCCAGAAGCAGGTAAGCAGGTGCACCCCTGCATTCTTCACTCTGAGCAGAAAGTCTAGAGACAAAATGCCAGTTCCATTTCCATCAGACTTGTCAACCAGCATAATGTGACGTGAACTTGACTGCCATTTTATTGACACCCGAAGTCCAGAGAGAGTACTTAGGATTATTTAATTGACTGGAAAAATATTACAGAGCATTAGAATGCATACAAATTAAGCCATCAAGGCATGGCATGGTTTTAGATCGCTATGCCCACCTCTCTTCACAGTACCTGTTTGACGTCAATATCCTCCTCTCAAGTATGCTCAGGATATACCCTCTTAATAGACATTTGATCTCAATGATACAAGTGGGGTCCCAAGTGCCCAGTAACTTGACATATATGATGAGAGGAAGCCAACGGGCTCGGTAAGCCAATTGAATGGTTCCTGCTCACGCTTATGCTGATTGCATTTCTGACTACACAGGCATGAGTAACAACCACAAACCTTGACGGTGAGGATCTGATTACTGTGCAGGGCAGCAACTGTGGGGAAGCCTGGCAGGCCCTATGGACGTAGCACAGCACCAAAACAACACGACATAAAACGTCACACAGAATTTCACTAGGGGACAAACAAAACAAGCACATACCTAGCGCCTCCCTTCCCTGGTTCTAAGTCTTGCCTCATCTGACACACCATAAACAAAATTAGACACATGAGGCCCCAAAATAAACCTTTTTTTTTTTTTTTTTTTCTGAAGTGCAGTGGCTTGATCTAGGCTCACTGCAACCTCCACTTCCCGAGTTCAAGCAATTCTCCTGCCTCAGCCTCCCTAGTGCTGGGATCACAGGCGTGCGCCACCACGCCCAGTGAAGTTTTGTATTTTTAGTAGAGACGGGGTTTCACCATGTTGGCCAGACTGGTCTCCAACTCCTGACCTCAAGTGATCCACCCACCTCGGCCTCCCACAGTGCTGGGATTACAGGCGTGAGCCACCATGTCCAGACTTTTGTTTTCCTTTTTTTTTTTTGAGACGGAGTCTTGCTCTGTCACCTAGGCTGGAGTGCACTGGCACAATCTCAGCTCACTGAAACCTCTGTCCCCAGGGTTCAAGTGATTCTCTGTCTCAGCCTGCCCAGTAGCTGGGATTACAGGCATGTGCCACCATGTCCAGCTAATTTTTGTATTTGTAGTAGAGACTGGGTTTCACCATGTTGGCCAGGCTGGTCTCAAACTCCTGCCCTCAAGTGATCTGACCACCTCAGCCTCCCAAAGTGCTGGGATTACAGGCATAAACCATCATGCCTAGTCAAACCAATAATTTCCTAAAGCATGGAATGGGGAAACTGAGAGCTCATGGTCATTGAGCCTGGGGCAGGTACAACGGGATCTGTGTCTACACGGTGTAAAGAGTTTGCTACATGGAGCATTTCTGGAATCTTACAAAATTACAACATCTTAATTACAAAATGTTAGTACAAAATGGAGATAACTATAGACACTGTTATGAAAACCACACTGTAATTTCCCTCCATTGACATTCTGTTTACAGCTCAGGATATACAATACATGTATTAATTCTTTTTTGGACAACAACGGGGAACAAAATTTTGCCATCAGATCATACTTATTCCCCAGAATAAACACAGTACACCTCACAAAATACAGTCTTGCCACCCACATATCAAAATTTCTCTCTCCAATCATATGATGAATCTCAGAACTCTCCTGTTTCAGGAATTCACACAGAGGTGGTGGATGAAAATCTGTCTCTTATAACATGTGTATTTCATGTCAGGGGGATTTATGGTCACACTCTGCAGTAATCACTTCTGTCACATAACTTTTCCGAAAGAACTTGACAGTTCACACAACCCCTTAATGCAGAAAAGCAGTTTTGAATTCCTTGCGAATACGGAGAGATGTTTTAGAGACTCGTTCTTCAATAACTTGTACTAACTCCTCCTCACAGGCATTATCAATTGGTTAAGTCTGAGAGAGAAATTTTGCCTTTGTTCTATTTCTTTTGTAAGAACATGTGAAACTAAAGCCTTTTATTCCTTTTTTTTCCAAAACACACACACACACAGAGAGAACATGTTTACCAGTTTACCATACAAATAAAATAAACAACAACCACAGCAATACATGGCCTGGGCTCTCTCTCTTCCCACCCAAATTTATCTTGCAGATATTTTTAGGAAAGCCCCGGAAATTTCTACATTTTTAGTTTTATTAGTTTTGTGAATATTTCACCCCCCACATCCCTCACATTAGAGATATGTTTTTCATTTTAAGAAAGGCAGAAAAATTAGTTTGTAGTCTGAAGACACTTCTTCAGCTCTAATGCCTTTGATTCTCAGTCTTCAGGACTACAACTTCTCAGGAGGCAAAACAGAGAAAATCTTATCTTTTGCCAAGTCTGTTCTGATAAGGCTATTAAGTGGCTCCGTAGTTTTGAGGTGACCTATGTCCTCTTTTTCTTCTCTCTAAATACAAGTCCTTTAAATATACATTCTGCATAAATTCAGAAATGCTACAAGTTGGAAAACAGATGTATACAATTTGCTTTTGTTTTACTATGGAATATGAGTTTAAAATGTTATTAGATGGTAATGTGCCAGCATCTTTCCATCTGTGACTCATTAGCCCTATATTACACAGTCAGAATTTTATATATAAAGCTCATATTTATGTAACAAAGAACAAAAACAGATACAAACAAGAAGTCTATGAGGGATCAGAATCTTGATTAGTGGCGATAAATCATAATGTCACTTGAAACAGGATTATCTAACAAAATAATTTTAAATTAAAAACCTTTTAGCAGCACACATGGTAGGCCTTACAAATATTTTGAAATTTGAATGTATAAATAAGTCACTTCTTGTACTCATGTCTGAGCATGACCAGCTTTCTATTTGATCATATTTTCAAAATGCTCACACACACACACACAAAGTTTGGGTTCCAATTTTAATGAGATTTAAAGAGAGAAGTGGATAGGCAATTCTCACCTCAGAAAGATCTTTTTCCTCAAACAGAATAATCTCTATTTGAGGAAGCTGATTTATAATCCTTAATCATCTTGACTGTGAAAATGCTACCAATTAGGTGTTTAGAGCTACATTTTAAAGATTTCATTAGCATGCCAGGCAAAATAATTTTTCAGGAGTTTACGTGTAGCAAAGTAAAAAGGGGACATGTGGACGGATTCTCTTAAATGCTAACAAAAATCCCATGATTTGGGCTGCAATGTCCTAGGACCCTGTGCGTTTCAAACTGGGGTAAAAGTAACCCTGAGAGTATATGCTGGTGTCCTAGAGAGTGTTTCAAAGCAATAACAAATATGGTCCATCCTCCTAAAAAGTCTATTCAATTAATGGCAAATACATTTAAACACTATTATGTAAAGCAAACATTGATATATTATAGGGTTATAGCATTCAAAATTGGACACGTTTTAAAAATTTTCACCATTTGATGGTGGTAAAAAAAATCCCATTTCACAGGGGGTGCCTCCAGATCCTAGGTAGACACTGACTCTGCTTCTTGTGTGAGTTCTTTGGAGGGTTGGTTTCTAAAGTACAGGTGTTGACACCTATCCTCAGTACAGGTGTTGACACCTTATGGCTTTGTGTGGCCACACCTGCTAGGCTTCTCTAGCCGCTCATACAGAGAATACAATTTTTATTAACTATACCATTTTTTCCCACAGTATCATTAGTCATATCCTTTCTAAACAAATAAAATGGACATACTTTACTTGGTTTTGCATCTCAGAAATTTTGCCTGGTACACAGACGGTTTGAGTGGGTGTGGAAAAACAAATGTGTCTCCAGAAAAATATGGAGAAAAAAATCCAGGAATATTGAATATTGAATACTGAATATTGAAATAATTTTTGTTATTGTTGTTATTTTTTGAGATGGGGTCTGACTCTGTCGCCCAGACTTGAGTGTAGTGGTGCGATCTCGGCTCACTGCAACCTCTGCCTCCCGGGTTCAAGCAATTCTCCTGCCTCAGCGCCCCCAGTAGCTGGGACTACAAGCATGCACCACCATGCTGAGCTATTTTTTTTGTATTTTTAGTAGAGATGGGCTTTCACCATGTTGGCCAGGCTGGTCTCGAACTCCTGACCTTAAGTGATCTGCCCACCTCAGCCTCCCAAAGTGCTGAGATTACAGGCGTGAGCCACTGTACTCGGCCTGAAATAATTTGTACACATTTTCACCCCCAAATACTTTGAATTATTAAGAAATCAGATGAATAAGAGCTGTAAAACTACCATATATAACTCATTTTTTTTCCCTTCTGAGAGCATAAAGCCTCAGACAGTTTCATGAATCTTCATGACATTCTGTGAAGTAGGCAACCATCTCACAACCAGTATTTTGACATCATGACAGGAAAGGCTATATCTCCCCCTTCATTACCAACTAGAAGAAACAATGCAAGCCTACCCCAAAGGGATATTGAATAAATAAATAATTCATAAGAAATGCTTCTAACTACTTAGAGGCCATACATTCAAGGTGTTACTGTCATTTTTATTGTACTCAGTAATAATGAGTATTATAAGATTATAAATAGTGAGAAAATTTTGTGCTTTCTCAAACGTATTCAGTAAGGCAATGATAGAGCCAGAAATTCAATCCAGGTCTTCTGATTCTAAACTTTGTCATTATGCAATTTATGTGTTTATAATTTTCTTCTACCTGCTTTACAGT